ACCCTGTAGCTACCATGTCTGCTATAACCCCGTAGCTACCATGTCTGCTATAACCCCGTAGCTTCCATGTCTGCTATAACCCCGTAGCTACCATGTCTGCTATAACCCTGTAGCTTCCATGTCTGCTATAACCCCGTAGCTACCATGCCTGCTTTGACCCTGTAGCTACCGTGTCTGCTATGACCCTGTGACTATCATGCCTGCTATCACAACGTTGCTACTATGTCTGCCATGATCCCGTAGCTAACATCTCTGCTAAGACCTAGTGGATAACATGTCCTCTTTATCCCAAATCTACCATGTCTACCATGACTTCATAGCAATCATGTCTGCCATGACCTCATAGAACTAGAGGTGGTGGGCCTACATCTCACTCTACTTTAGCAGGATAAGGGAATACCTCGGGAAAACACCATTATTCCACAAATGTCTATGCATACCGTTTATTTTTTCACTATTTAGTCTATATGGGTATCTGCTGACCAACTAGGCAGTAGAGAAGTGTGTGAAACAATAATCCTTTTACCATGAGCTATTCTTAACATTAATCCATTAAATATATACAACGGCCATACATAAGCATCCATTCGCTTTTTATGCAGTATAAGCATCCCAAAAGCAAATTAATGTAAAAGCACGCATAGAAGAAACAAACCCAAGAATGGGGGAATCATGGAATCTCCATAGAGATTGTGATAATGGAGGAAACTGAGACCAGAACTGCAAAGCTGTAAGATATAAGCGCTACCCTGTATACTATGTCACTAATGAGGACAATTATTATAGTCATTATTACTAATATTACCCTTTAATATCATACAAAAACAACACCCACAGGTCTCCATACACATTACGCTGCCTTCCAAAAGCGACATGTTTACAAGTTGCCCACTCCTGGTCTCATTTAGACGTGCTGCCAGGGGTCGGTAAAAACAGGCAGTTGTGCCAAGTTTTCAACGCCTACCGGTTGTTCACCTAAAAGATAAAGCCTGACCGCTCAGCCTTGTATATACGCCGTGGACGCGATATTGTGTGTATGTTGTGTTATAGCAGACATGGTAGCTACGGGGTCATAGCAGACATGGTAGCAGACACCTCAACACACAATATCGCGTCCACGGCATGTATACAGGGCTGAGCGGTCAGGCTTTACCTTTTAGGTGGACAACCGGTAGGCGTTGAAAACTTGGCATAACTGCCTGTTTTTACCGACCCCTGGCAGCACGTCTAAATGAGACCAGGAGTGGGCAACTCCAGCCCTCCAGCTGTTGTGGGACTACAAGTCCCATGAGTAATTGCAAGACTGGCACTTACAGGCATGTTGGGATTTGTAGTAAAAGCACAGCTGAAGGGCTGGAGTTGCCCACACCAGCCTTAGATGGTTATCACCGAAAGAGGTGTCCCCATTGCAGGAATCAAGGAGGTGCCCTCCGCCCCCCTGGAATGATGTCAGATAGCAAATGCCCCCGCCCCCTCTGCATCAGGTCCACCTCTGCTGATTGACAGCAGCAGTGGGCAGGTGCAATAGCTAGTCTGCTATTGGCTATTGCAAATGGCAATAGCCAATAGCAATGTAGCTATGCATTCCTATGCTGTTCTTTTTTTTTTCTCTGACTGACAGCGACCGGCGGACCCGATGTCAGGAAAAGAAAACAAAAAACAGATAGCAGGGAAAGGTTTACTCTGCTAGATATAGCAGATTAAATCTTTTGGGGAGAAAGTGTTTCTCTCCCGGGCGGCCGGGAGCCGCTACCTAACAGCGGGAGACTCACGGAACATCCGGGAGAGTTGGGATGTCTGCCATTGGATGATATTCCCTCACCTCCTGTTCTATTGACAACAAAGTTTGGATTTCCCATTATTTATAGTTTTGATGGGAATGGTCAACAGGATACATAGGTAGGGGGGGATTTTCTAAAACTGGAGCAGACAGAAGCTGGAGCATTTGGCCACAGTAACCAATCAGTTTGTTCAGTTAAGCTTTGAAAATGAAAGAGAGGAGCTGACTGGCTTCCATGGGTTTCCACATTTAGCTCTGGGCCGTACTGAAAACATTATGGGTGTTACCCCTCTGCTGTCACCATGTTACAACGTGGGAAGCAGTAGAGCAATGCAATCCTGCCAGTCAGACAACAATCACTGGCTGGATTATCAGGAACAGCCGCTCTGCCCAAAAACGTGAAGACGAGTCCAATGATAACACATCTGACAGGCACAAATAATATTTACACTGCGCCCATTACGCTCTTCAATAAGACTGCAACATCCATTCGGGAGGTTTTTTTTCTTTTTTTTTTGCTGTTATGTTTGTACTTGTGACAGGTATCCGAGCCGCAAACATTGCAATCTGATTGTACAATCTCCTTTAGATCTACCAAAAACGAGGGAGGGTCTGTCTGATAGGATACAAATCGATTGGTCAGATTAGCTCGGTCCTTAATTATATAGTATTGGTAAATCTAAAGTTGATAGTACAGAGATTGGAACGTCTATGGTGACCCTTATGGAGCTGACTTTGTCACTGTGCCACTGCCCTGTGTACTCCAATGACTTGGATTTCTTTCAATTCAGATCCCAAGTGAAGTAAGGGAATGATATCACCCGGCTTGTCAATGAACTAGACTCATCTCTAACATCTGCTTTGCAACTGCTATGTAGTCTCCAGCAATGCACCTGTTCCAGCACACCATAGCAAACAGCCACCAGCACGAGGGACGGTGCAACCAACATCCTGATGAATCTTACAAAGACTCAAAGGATAAAAATGAGGGATGCACCGATACTTTGAGTACCAGTGCCGATACTTGGCATTTTCTACCAGGGTTGCAGCGGTTGCAGCTGGGACCTGGCTCTGGCGCTCCACCACTGTCCTGAAATCATTAGTCTGTATTGTTTTAGAAAAACTGTCACATGACAATAAACAAAAATGTATCAGTACTTCTATCTGTGAGTACTTGGGCAAGTATCAGTACTCGTACTCGCAAAACTGGTATCTGTGCATCCCTTATATATGTATATAAAAACAAAATCATACAATAAAACAGATGTACAAATCCCAGGAGCTCCGTGTGCGCCTTACAAATGACAGCTGCCTCCTAACTATTGAAATTTCCTCTAGTCTAGTCTTAGAGCTGGAAAAGTATTTGTACTTGTACCGAGTACGGTACTTGTTATCGGTGCATCCCTAATAAAAAGTATAATCATCAAATGGATGGCCTCATGTACTAAGCGCCCCCACAATCAGCTTCTCTTTAGGTCTGGTAAAGGTCACATTGAAAGCATTTTCTAACATCTGTTTGATAAAAGCAACAAAGATAAGTGCTGCTGATCCTGCCAGAGATCCAGTGAGTACCTGTGCACTCTGCAGTGTTATCCCAAGCAGTGTCAGCCCTGCCCAGCTCACTTCTGCGAACTACAGAACACCTCCCCTCTATGTTGTGGAGATGAGGAGAGGTTCTGCTGTCCTGACACACTTCCTAGGGTGACAACGCTGCTCTTTCATAGATACAGTATAGTAAGTGAGTGTTGTCACCTTAGGACAGGCAGTGTGTTACTGACAGGATCACAGGTGAATTTAAAGGAGAAAAAGACAAAATGCAGCCCCCACATCTAAGAACCGGCATGTTGCAGTGTATAATATTTTTGGCTCTTGGGTTTAGATACACTTTCAGCTCAAATCACATCTTACTAGGTGCCTACCTCTTTATTACATTTTACACCAGGCAACCTCTGCACTCCAGCTGTTGTGGAACTACAAGTACCATGAGGCATTGCAAGATTCTGACAGCCACAGGCATGACTTCCAGAGGCAGAGGTCTTATGGAATTTGTAGTTTCACCCCCTTATGACCCAAGTCAAAGGGGGTGCCAAGGTTGGCTACCGCTGTTAGGGCTTGTTCACACCATAACATGCATGAAATCTCAGGTGAGCTGACATGCATTAATACGTGTTTATGCAACTTTCAGTGCCTTCTTATGCATGTCGATATTTGTTGATGTATTTTTTGTACGTTTTCTGTGTTTTTTTCACCATTGGAAGTGTCATCACTTCCTTTTCCCCTCTGCGGGTTGATTTTACTTTTGGTTGCATTGTGCTTATCCGCCTCTACGTGTCCTGCGCAGATCAGGTCCAGAAAAACGCAGATCGCCGCACACGGTATGAACGGGCCCTAATGTACTATATAGCATTCCTCCAAACCATGCTCTGTGTGTACAAGGGACCTGAGGCTGCAAAGCTTCATACCCAACCGTCACTCTTGCTGGAGGTTCAGAGCCCATCTATTATATGAGCAGTGAGTGATATGGCTGAAGGGCCCGCATTCCTGCAAAAGACAACTAGCCCAGCTTCATTTTTCAATCCGATCGGCCAGAAGAAAAACACATATTTCAGAATGTTTACAAACCTGAACACAAGGGGGTTATTCATAAAAACTGGGGGAGACAGTTTTCTTATGGTAACCAATCAGCTTCTCTCTTCAGTTAAGCTTTGGTAATGAAAAAGAGAAGCTGATTGGTTACTATTAGCAACTGCTCCAGATTCTGTCTGCTCCAGTTGTTATGAATTCCGCCCATTATGTTATTAGATCTGTACTATTTCAGCCCACCTACATGGTGTCTATAAATAAAGTCACAGTGACTATGTCATGGTGTACCATGGTATTATTAGTGCTAGTGTTCTAGGCTGTTCCAGACCATGAAGGGTTACCTCCTGATCCAGATGACATCTTCCTTAACCTATGCAGGGACATGGCAAGCCATAATGAGGTCACAGTCCCCATGTGATGATCATACAAGGATCAGTGATCTGCAGTCCACACACTGGGATATGTGTATCCAATCACAGGCAGCAGATGATCAGCAGAATGCCTAGAGCAGGATACAATGTATCCATAGTGTACCTGCGGCTCTCCATAATGGGGCTGTAGTGAAAATAGATTCATATAGGGGCTCGATCACTATAAGCCATCGCATGCAGCATGCAGAAATAATGGGGATCCTTACCTCCTTCTCATCTGTGGGGGTCCCAGGAGGCCGCACGGAATCCAGGAGGAGGGAAGAGAGGAAACAGACAGGTCAGGGATGGAATGATGTAATGGTCCCCCCCTCCCCTGACATTCTACACCCATGGCCTCGGCAGCTCACCTGTCTTCAGCAGCTTGCTCTTGAACCTGATGCTGGTGCTCATGGTGTCCAGAGGTGAGATGCAGTGAGCGGTGCAGTGGCTGATGCAGTGAGCAGTGCGGGCTGTCCTTTGTGCTGCTTCTTTACAATAGACTCCCAGGGATGGGGAGAGCAGGCTGCTGCTGCATTACTGGATCTACGGCCAGCTGCGATTGGCTCCGGCTGTCCCAGCCCACAGCGTGCAGCCAATGACATGGCGCGAGTCCGCTGGCTGAGCCCGCCCCCCGGCTGTCTGCTTGTAGTGTACGGTGCTGTGTCAATGTGCACACTCCCAGAGCTGACACACTGACCCACAAAGTGTACAGGGTGTGAATGACAACACGCACGTGTGTACAGTGCACCTATTCACCGCTGTAGTCACCTAATCCCATTATAAGGCTGGGGATCCTCTTATGTTGGATCTACAGGACATCTTTGTGCCAATTTAGTGGCTTTTCACACCTTGGCACTTTAAAGCATGTTTCCAGAAGCTATTTAGGTCCTCATTCACACCTTCGCATTGCGTAAAGCGCACCCTTTGAAGCGCGTTCCTGCAACACGTTCAAAATGTGCATCACGTTTGCGGTGGCATCACTCGTTAATGGCTGGAAAAAATGCACATTTTTTTCCTGCGTGTGGACACGTGTCAATCGCACACAAACGCGCAGGGGGGAAAAATGCGCGACGCTCACAGCTGAAAATGCTGCATGAGCTACTTTGCCACATTTTTCAGCGTGTGCCACCCAGGACTATTATGAGGCGGTTGCCTTAAGTGGCATCTCATTGGGGTGTGGGGCAGCTACAGCGTCCCAGGTTGCTAAAAGCTTTTGGCAACCTGTGACACTCTGTGCAGCTTCCCGCCCAGCTCACTGACATCACCGGTTGCATTACACTAGCACATCATGTAGTGTGAACGGGGATTAATACTCAACACACAGATTACCATGTTGTACTATTATGCCTCTTCACATTTCAGTGATGTGCTGTTGTTCAATACTCCAAAAAAATTACACAATCGCATGTTTTTGGCCCCCAATAGACATCAATGGGAGCACCTGCGAAACATGCATTTTTGGCACGATTTTGGGCTAACACCCGTTCTCCAGTGTTCATTTTGTCAGCAGATTTCATTTTCATCTTAGTTCTTAGTCTTTTGACGAAAATTCATTCTTATTTTTAGTCGTCTGAATAATTTTAGTTTTAGTCACCGATAATCTAACGGTTTATTTTTAGTGTAATGCATTATTTAACCAATTCTCTTGAATTTCCAAACTCATCTCATTATACACTGAGTGGCCAGATTATTATGACCACCTGACATTTGTAGGCAAATTAGCTATAATTTCGTGCTGACGTTGCTAGAGGGCCAGACCATTATAAATAGGGAAGCAGGTTGTTTACCACGACAGTAGAAGTGATTTTTTTCTGAAGATATGGGTAAACAACGCGATTTAACAGCCTTTGAACGTGGGATGATTGTTGGTGCTCGGAGCCATGGAGCGAGTATCAGCAAAACAGCAGAATTCGTTAAATGTTCAAGAGCAGCTGTTGTTAAAGTGTTTAAAGACTGGACTGTCAGCCGAAAATCTGGGTCTGAACGTGCGAATTGAGGCCGTCAGCGACTTGTCAATGTTAGGGCAGAACGGAGAGTGGCAAGACTGGTACAAGACAACAGAAGGGCAACAGTGCATTAAATTAATGCAGATCTTAATCGGGGATCCTATCAAATGATCAAGTAAACCTCTATTAACCTGTTACGACTTATGGTATTAAAGTAATTTATTTTTTCCCTCCCCCCCCAATATTAATGTTAGCACTTACCTTAAATTATGTTTCTTAATCTGATCATCTTCTTCTTCTTCTTTCTTGTCCTTTTCATCTGTCCTTCCAGCGCTGCGGCGGCTCTCCGATCTAGCGCTGACTCCTCTGTCCTAGCTGGCACTTCCTGTCCCACGGTGTCTGCATGCGGGTGCAAGCGTCCATAGACTTACCTTGTGTCTATCCTCGCGTCCCGGCCAAAAATGTGAACTGCGCCCGCCCCAAGATACTTTGCGGCCACCCTAGGCTCTTCACATTTTCGGACGGGAGCGTGCAGGGAAGACACGGGTAAGTATTAACTTCTGTTAGCGTTTTTTTTACACTTTTTGCATTGATCTATTGCTTGCTAGCAGTAGATCTATGCAAAAAAAAAAACGGAGGCTTTAATTTTCCTTCAAGGCTTGAATATGCAATACAGACACAGATTTAGCCGTTGTGATAAGAACGTCTTCATTTCTCTTAAATTAAAACCAAGTTTCATAAACAAACAAGAATATTACTTTTTCACAAACAGACGTGCAACTTTATATTAAAAGAAGAAACTTTATTGACTTTAACGCCATTGCACATATTACCTGAATACAAAACCTTAACAGCTCTCTGTTAATCATGAAAGCAAATACAGTCGACCCCCGAAATTCGCGGGGGTTACGTTTGTAGAGCACCCGCGAATTGTGAAAAAACGTGAATTTTGAATGTGGTCAAAGAAAACCCTAAATATGCCCCCAAAACACTTTAATTTCATTTCAAACTCAACTTAATACATTACCCTTAAAAAAAAAAATGTATAAGGTAAACTCGTATACTGCTATGTCTCCCGCAGTGCTAGAATGTAAAATACCGATGTTACCCCTATATGGGAAAAATCCGCAAACAACTGAGGCCGCGAACTCTGAACCGCGACTTCGCAGGAGTCGACTGTATCATTAAAGGAGAACTACGGAGTAAGTGAATTACACTCATCCTTATAGTTAGAGCCGACGTGTGACATTGAAACTATCACACGACGACTCTATAGATCGGGAAGTGAGCGAACACATACCGTCGCATAACCTCACTCACTTTCCGATCATCTCCCTGCAGAGAGCGGTGACTGTCAGTCACCGCTCCCCGCAGGGATCCCCCTCCGTTCCTCTAGTGCTGACTGGAGGGACGAATAGGGGTGGGTGGGGGCGGGCATAGCTGGCTCTGCCTCTAGATAGGCAGAGCCCACTGTCAATCAGCTGGCTGGGTGGATCTCGACAGTGTTGTCGTGATCAGTTTCTGGCAGGGGCGGCTCTCCTTCTATATAGCAAGCTATATACTGAGCTTTGGGTCACGGGAGGACATATACTAACGTACCCCCATGACCCTAAAGAGAACTAGGGAATAAAATAGTTACCCCCATAGTTCTCTTTTAAGTTACTCAACACCATAAAAGGTTTCTGCAGCTGGCACAGCCACAGTATAATAAAACCCATTCTCATGGGTTATGCTTATATCTAGAGGACGAATCAATCAACTGACTATTCTAATTCTACTTCAAAGAAAAAGGTCACAGGCTACAATGAAATGAGTGCATGAAAGTATAACAATCATTACTTTTATCAACTCCTCTCTTTCTCTCAGTATTGGCAAAAAGAGGTAAATATCCCACTAAGAACAGTTGTTACTGCTATTCACTATTCCCATAGCAATATTATGCACCTCACTGTAACTGCTCTGGCATTTCGTTGTCGTCGTGGAAAAACAGCCAAATGACAAAAAAAACCCCGAAAATTAACACTGCTCCAGTATCTATTTAATAACTTTCCATTGGCTAAAACAAAAACACTCAAGAGGAAAAGCACTTGAAGAGTCCTTCTTAGTTATCAGGAGCTGGCTATGTCTGCCAGGTTCAGGTAGCCAGGCCCTTGATGACATACGTTTGCTGTGTACTCCTGCATTCTGGGATATATGACGGCTGCGGGAATAGGGACATATCATTCTCACCTTGCCAGAAATGTCAGATCGCGGGGTACTCACTTGGTCAATACTCACTTGCTGTGAGTATTGACCAACATTCCGTTTGTGTAGATCAGGTGTCCCTCCAGCTGTGCCATGATTGGGCAAAATATGATGACTTTGCCCAATCATGGCTCACCTGTCAGGTGACGTACAAATGTAAACGGTTGGGCAGAGCTAGCTGTCACCGCTAGCTCCGCCCGATTGCTTATATGTTGCCGGCATCTGTCAGAATGCCATTTTACGGCGGGAGTTTGTCGCAACCAGACGGGTCGGCAGGCGTCGTTATTATTTCTATTTTTTATTTTGTCGAGTCGTCGTGGACAACGCTGGACGCCGTGTCATGATTGATTGTGGATTACATCAGCGGATCCATTTTTCTTTTTGTTTTTTTTTTGTTGGGGGGGGTTCTTAAATTTGGTCCCTCCTAAAAAGACCCCCTCCCCCCAGGTCTCAGGAAGCTGTGCGTGGTCTGACCAGGACTCTGCGGGTTCTCAACATTGCTGTGCGGGTCTCACCAGGGCTGTGCGGTTGGGTGCAGCCAGCGGGAAGGAGGAGTAGATGTGCAGCCAGCGCTGTAAACAGGCATTGTGAGTTTCTCAGCAAGTGTAAGATCTTATAACAGCCGAACCTGTAAAAAAAAAAATTTAATGGGGTGGTATGCCATATATGTGGGGGTGTACAGGGACAATGAGGACATGCTGGGCCTTGTAGTTCTCTATGCTATGAGGCTGCATGAATTACTGTCCTCCTGAAAGTACTAGTAATACAATGCCACTATAAAACATACAATAAAACATAGCTGACCTTGAAAGTTTCAAGTTAAACTATGTTCTATTCTATGTTTTATAGTGACATTGTATTACTTGTACTTTGAGGAAGACAGTAATGCATACAGCCTCATAGCATAGAGAACTACAAGGCCCAGTGGGACTACCTGCTTGTAGTGTATTAGTAAAGACAATGCCATTATAGAACATGAAATAGAATAGAGTTGAACTGGAAACTTTCAAGTTCAACTCTATTCTATTTCATGTTCTATAATAGCAACTACAATAACCACCTAAACTGTCTTCCTGGCTGTAAAGAAAAAAAAACACTGGGGTGCAGGTGTGGGAAAGCGGCAACTTACCGGACCGAGGTGAGTCTCTCTGCAGCATCAGGTCGCGGCTGCTGCTCGATGGGTCCCCAGAGCTGTCCTGTTATCTGCCTGTTTTGGTCTGCGGCTGCCTAATATTCTTCTCCTCCCGGGCTGCCCAACGCCCCCCCACCCGGCAACCCTCTCCCCCCCC